AGCTAATGATACTCAGAAAGTAGGTGCATAAAGAGTGTTGAGCCATCAACTAACCGCATTTACATATCCGAGTTTAAAAAACACCATCACAATGACGTTCTATCATAACATAGCAACTGCACAAAATACTAATTTCCCGACCTCCTCCATCAGCCCTTGACACCTCCACGTTACCTAAAATGGGTAATTTCACCCTCTACGAGAACAACTAATATAGAAGTATGAATGCACAAGAAAATTGATGCTAAATTTTTGAATAGATGATTAGATGGAAGCCAAATCAGAGCCTGGCTCGAGCTAGTTGGCATTGATACATCATTCGGTATGAATCGAGTTCATGATTTTGATCGAGTTCAAAATTTGACTTTAATTGTTGCGGAGACCATTCAGCCTCCATTGAGTGGTTGTGTTGAGCTTCCAGTCAGTTCCCGATTGCACAAAAAATTGACACGTCACATGTTCGGGTGTCGCTCGCAAGGAATGTTTTACTTCAGTTTTTATTGACAATATCAGTAATGATCAAGCATTCCTAGGGGCATTTTCGCTATACGACGTCGATAAGGACGGTTATATAACAAAAGAAGAAATGGCGAATATAGTGGATGCAATTTATTCGATGATCGGTAATATGATAGAATTACCAAAGGATGAGGACACTCCTGAAAAAAGGGTCGCGAAAATATTTTCAAATATGGATCTCGTTCGTCACTTTCATACTTTTTCTTTCAAATTTTTGACAGATTCTTTCATCGATTATTAAATTTTCCACTGATCGCTCACTTACGTGCCCAATAATTCAGGGCAATCGGTAATTTTGAATATATTTGGAGGTGATTTTACATGCTCATTTCAGATCATTTCGATTCTCAATCACTGATCTTTTTCTAAATAAAACAAAAAATTCAGAATCTTGATGGACGATTAACGCTCGATGAGTTCAAAGCAGGATCAAAGAATGATCCGTGGATCGTACAAGCGCTCACAATGGACATGAGCTCTTCGTAGCATTCTTCGAACGCTTATCATTGGTTTATTACTTTACATGTGGTAGTGGTCATCTGAAGGCAGTGAACCATATGTATTAACGAGTCTGAATGCAATGAACCGTATGCAGTAAAGAGTCATTTGTTCCGAAGATGAATTCTTTCTTTTTGTTCAACAAGGAATTTGATGCACTGATAACTTTGCTGCATTCAGAGACCATCATGTTGTGATTTTGTTTTCCGATCACGATGTATCAAACGGAATGATATAAATATTACATTATCATCTTCATTATTATGATGTATAATTTGAATAAATTCAATTCTTGAACATATCCAATTGTCCACCAATAACACATTTCACTAAATCGATTCGTTTATTATTAGTGAAGAGAAAAATGCTATCGATCAGCACAACTCAATGCATCATTGCCGATTTGAATGATCATTGAGCTTTGAGTTCATTCAACCTGATGAACTTCACTTATAAAGTTACGAATCAAAGTGAAGCTCTTATTGTGACAACAATATAAAACGTCAACATTGAGAAAACCAGTGAAAATTGTTCATTAGTTGTTCATTTCCTACATAATTTCCAATATTGGCTTGCAAAATTTCAATAGCATCATTTTTTGCTCTGACTGAACGTATGAAATGCACGTGCAAATTGCGTTTGTGGTAATTACTCAAAATGCAAGAATGAGTCGGGTGATATGTAACTTAATCCGTTCGAATTAGTGGTCCAGTTCAGATTCAGGCTCATTACTGGATTTACTGCCAGTCTTATTTTTGAGGACCCAATTACGACTAGGCTTCGAAAGGAATGAACTTTAAATGGGTAATTTGTCAGCATAGTACACATGGTAATGCAAAATAAGAAAACAAGTGAAATTTCCCATAAAATTATTGCTCGATGTTGCATTTTACATATGGGGGTTTGAGTGATTGATGAATGGAATTCAGTTCACCGATTTCGTTATTTTTCGTAATCATTATCGCTAGTGTTTATTTTTTGAGTTGTGCGCTGCGGTTCGTCGATGGCTTCCTTAGTGAAGTTAGTTTCGAGCTTACTGATTAATACATATCACTTCTGGAAAGGTGTTTCCGAGAAATTAAACCGTAGTATGCGCAATTCTCATCAATATTTTATTACCGACTCTCATCGATGTCGCAATTCGGCTCGCCAATAAACTCGTCAGTGAGGATTTATTCAGCAATACCTCATGAGAATACCATGATAAGCCTGATCTAATCATTATGGTTAGTATTGTATTTGTCATAGCCTTATTGTTGGCAAAATTTCGAGCTATAGGTGAGGATCTTTATGCGGCTCAATTTATTACGATGTGTTTTTGTGTCTTATTTATGCTGGACAGCTTCAGTAGTTTTAAAACAAATCAAACAAACAAAGGTCAAGAATTTTTGGCAGCGAAACGATGCAACCGGTTAGCAGCAAACGCACAGAAAACTATTGCTACCAGACAGGTGGGTATTATGCAGTTGACACCAACAAAATAGGAATCATCTAGAAATTGAAAGGATACATTTAGTTTCGTTTTCGTAATTCACTTGTCATATGTAATTGCGACTTGTAAAAGTAACATTAAAATAGCGCTGTTATTACAATTTACAATGTCATTCCAAAACTTCCTAGAAACTATTTGAGAATTGTTCAAGAAGCTCAGAATCTAAAAAAAATTTGAGAATTACCAAAATACGCTCGTATAAGAAGTCATGAATTGAGCATTTGCAATCACTGAGGAACAACTGTCTTCTGGTTTTAATTGGTCGGTGATCGTTCAGTTATCATGTGTGTCAGTAAACCGACGAATAAATCGTCGTTTACTGCACAGTACGATGGCGTCCGGTAAGGCGATTTCAAGTGCTCTCGGAGTTGAGAAGCGTCAGAAAGAGAAAGAGATTGAAGATAAAATGATCGAGGAGCTCGTTGAACACCTCAAGAGTATCGCTCCGTTCAACAAACGTTGGCAGGTATACACTCATCCTTTATGCGTATTTCCAAACAATTTTACTCGTCATCTGGAACTATTATATCCGACGCCAAAGGCTCTTGTTCCCTACCCAGCTAACATCAGTGACTTCGTTCGTTCGAAAATCATTCATAATTGCACGAAACTGTAAAGTCGCGCTTGCAAGTCGTTTCACTGAGATTGCAATGTGCTGAATTTTTGCAGGTGATTGAGACAATCAATCAAGGCACATATGGTGTTGTATTCTCGGTTCAAGATGTTGTCACGAAAGTTTTCGGTGTGATTAAAGTGGCAAAGTCACTAGCGAATGATTCTGGAAATGCTTCAGCCGAATGGGAGGGTTTCATTCTTGAGACTATGTTCAAGAGAGTTAGCTGTATCCACTACATTTCGTTGCACAATTATCAGTGAACAACTTCAAAACATTTAAAACCACAAAACGCCTCATTGCTTGAAACCGGTCACTACGCCATCAATTTCAGACTTATTTCCCTCTTAAAAAATCGGTATTCACCGAACAATACTCGATTGGTATGACTGATTGTTGCGGGAGCATCATTATGGTGATAGATCATAACCAGTGGTGCATGCTTTGAAATAAATTGACCTAGCCTTGGTCCCGTGTTTTTGGAATTTTCAAATTTTTAAATCTTTGGCTTCGCTTGCAAAAAATGATTTTGGCTCAAGGGCTCAGGCAGCACTGATCATATTAATTGCCACTGCATCATTAAAAATATTTCAATTAAGTCTGAGGTTGCGTCTGTGGTTCGTTTATTGGACAAAGGTATGTTAGCCGATCAGCACGGAGAGGGGATGGAGTTCGTGGTTCTTGAGAAGGCTGGTATACCTGTTAAGGATTATATCTTTGAGGTTTGCAAATGCTTTCTTTTCTCGACCATTTCATCGATGTTTGAAATTATCGAAACTATTATCGAATATAGAAATTACACTTCACCCACAAAGGCCTGCCTAAAGGCAACATAGTAGAATGCTGTGATCAGATATTGAAACGACGACTGATAATTCGTAGCCGTTCATTCCATACGCATATTTCTTATCGCAATGATCAACACTGAGCGCTGAAGAACTTCATTGAAAAATTTTGCGATTGCATTAAGATAAACGTCTCGAATTGATACTTTTCGAGATTTTTTATTCAGGCACTTGGACCGCTGAGAAACCTGCGTGCTGCGAAAGTTTCACTGCAGATGCTCAAAGGCATTTATGATCTTCATCAACAAGGTTTCACTTCTCATTAAGTATTGGCACTTAGAAATGCCGCTAACAACAACATCGAATGTGATGCGAATTCATTTACAAAATCGTTATCTTAATTCCGAATTTGCAAGTCTTTGAGTCGTTGACAAATACGAAAATGTTCATACGTTATTTTGGTTGTCGAACGTACGTTATCTGGTCATTTAGTTTGTATCTTCATGTAACAACACATGAAGATGTGAAATAAGTGACCTAATTGTTCGAGCAATGAATGCGAATTGTTTTCTGTGGGAAAGGCTCAGATCATAGGGAACAAATAAACTGAATCTATGTGAGCATTGATGAGGATTCCAGGCTTATTGCACAGAGACTTGAAACCGGACAATATGGGTGTGTGCTCAGAGGAGCAGCCAGTGACACTATTGTTCGATCTTGGTATGTCACGAATGTATACAGACGGAGAATGCGATGTGAGTTGTTTTTAAGCATAACATAAAAACTCAAATCCGAGAAGACGAAATTGGAACATGCTCGTGCTTTTCTTCTGAGTCAAATCAAGGTGTTTGAACGTGAATCTTGAACCATTCCCTTTTTCAATGACCAATTTTTCAAGCCAACCAGTTGAGAACTATTAGCGTTTTGCTTATTTATGAAGTTCAGTTTGTCGCACGCAATGTTCATTGTTTCTGAGTAAGTCTGTGTTCATAAAAGGAAATGGTTCAAGATTTGTCAAGGTATGACTGATGAATGCAGCTTATGAATTCACAGGTTCGCCCTCCTCGCACATGTTGTCCGTTCCGAGGTACTCCCGAATGGGCGAGTGGACATTCACAAAAAGGACGTGAGCAAACGCGCTTCGATGATCTGATTGCTTGGTTGTATGTGTCGTGCGAGTTGTTTGCCTCAGAGAAAGAACCAACTCAACCACTACCATGGACATACAGATCCAATAATCGAGTAAAATGATATTCCTTTACGCCAATTATTAACGCAGATTATTTTTTTCCCATTGAGCTACTTCGTTGGGTTCGATAGAATATCACTGGATCGTTCAGATCAATTGAAAGTTTTTGCACTCACTCGAATCAAACGCCACTATT